TAGACCTGGAGGGCTGCATGTTGGGCAGTCCTTCACACAGCCCCCAAGCAGACTTACTCCAATGAGGTTATTTTTGAACGCAGGCTGTCTTTTTGCTTGGCGTGCAGCTCTTGAGAGGGGTTGCTGGTGTCTTGGATCCCAAAATGCTTTTGAAGAGCAAGGCTGGCTACAGTGTCTGTGAACAGGAGAACCAACCCCTTCAGGAGGTGCTGGATCATATGGAGGATACGCAAAGCAAAGCAACAACTTTCAAGACACGAGTACAGTAAGTATAGGGCAAGATGATGAAGACAGCAACACAAATGGCTCTGAATGCCCCCCTCTCTGTGATGAGATGAGTGGAAAAAGGAATTTAAGTACTTAATTAAAATTTACATCCATCTGTCATAAGAGTAGTTTTCATTAAAAGCTAGGTTCCTTTGCCTTCCTCCATGATACTGATAAATTAATTGATATTCCACCACCTGTTCAGAGACCAGTTAGGATTAGTTCTGAGTGATACAAAAACATAAGGAGACAGCCCCACCGGTGGTTAGTTTTACAGCCTAAATTAGCTAAGGCAAAATAAGCGGTGTCATGTCATTATTCCTTTAAGGACTTTCAATAATGACAGAAATGCATATTTCCGTCACTATTAATGCATCAATGCATACATGTGATGGGCACATACAGCTCTGAGCTTCAATTTTTTAGCGCTTTCTATTTTGAAGGTGGCAGGTTATTTCAAGCCTTGCATCCAAACCTTGGGACTGTGCTGTTTGATATAGCAGGTGCAGCCCTTTCTTCTGTTTGTGAAGGTGGTCTTCACAAATGGTTCAAATTGCTTAAGCCATCCCTTGAAAAAATCATGCCATGTCTAGCAGTCAACTGCAGCATCTGTGATCCAAAGGCGTATGTGCAAACACAGCATCCAGCTGTTGTCTAATACTGACGGTGTGGTGACAGCTATTGCTGCAGCTAATCAAAGGGTGTTTCAGATTGTATTGCATTAATACCTGCAGCGGCAAGGAGTTTCAAGGCAAAAACCCATGTACACGGTTTTCCAAGAAGGTAGCAGCAAGAGAAAAGGAGGCCATGCTGACTGACTTTGTTCCTCCTGATGAACACGTAAAGTGAGCAACCAGTGTTGTTGTGACTGGGTTACGTCTTTGGTAAGTTAAACAAAACTGCCACCACCTGCTCTGTTTGATTCTAGAAACCTAATTGCTTCATTTAGGCTAGAAGTCTTTGGACTTAAGAAGTAAAAATGTGGCTCTGGATATGTGCGAAGTCAAAACCAAGATTTCTTGTTTGACTCTTAGCTCTGTTGTCCTGTTGTGACTAATAGGGCTCAGCCCACTAAAATGTAAAGCAAGGAATAAGTATCGTTATACAAAAATACTGCTAAGTAAGTTTGCTTCAGAAAGTTTTCTTTCCAGGGAAGCCATCCATGTCCAAATTACTATTTAACTGCCTCACTTTGGAGTAGTCCCCTTTTATCTGAAATTAATACACCAATTCACGTGTTGGTTCAAACTGACTTTGCGGTTGCCTCATCACTGCGATGGTGCTGATGCAAGCCATACTTGTAGATCAGTTGAAACTGTGATGCTGAGTTTAATAGTACTATAGATTTGAGGGGGGGAGGGGACGTATGCAAGAAAATACTGATAATGAGATGTTGCTTTCTTCCCCAACCTGAGACTGTCCTGGGGTGGTTGTTCCAGGGAGGAGGGAACTGCAATATTGATGAAGACATCCTTGTGAGCTTGCTCAACACCAGCTGTGAAAGGGAGGCCACTGTCCTTTCACTTTTCCATGCTGTCAAATTCAACAGCGTGAAAGCAGAACAGTCAAAGAGCCAGGAGATTTCATCTCCCCGGTTAGCTGTCAGGAGTTCTCATCGCCTAAGGACCCTGCCCTGCCAGGTCAAGGTAAAAGAGCCCTCATTTACATTTGCAAAATTCTAATTGCTTTGGATGTTTTTTTGGGGAGGGTGCCCACTGGAGATAAGAGCCTGTTTTTTCCAGGGAGCACTCGATATTTCTCTCTAATTGTATCTTAAGGTTTCAGAGTGCAGTTGAAAAAGGAAATGTTCAATAATGGTTACTTTTTACATGCAGCAGAGCAGTAAAATAGGAGAATGACACCTAAGTATTAGGGCTCAACAATACAGTCTTTTTGCTGGTCAAACTGTAGAAGATTCTCAGCAGTTTTGCTTGTACCCAAAGCCAGTGAAATCAACAGTAAAACATGGTTGAATACTGTGCGAGCTTTGGATTAGGTGAAGGACGTCATGTTTGAGCCATCTCAAGATGTGGTTTGTTAGATGTTACAGTTGGAGCCTCATGAAGTCCTCGGTCCAGAGTATCTGTGTCAGTCATGTAGGAGAGCAGGGGGACTGGTGGAAGTGTCAACAACTAGAAGAAGCTGAAGCATAGGGCAATGACCTTCCAGTCCCTACCTTCCCCATTATCTGCTTTTCTTGCTGTACTTTCTTTTAATCGTTGAGTACATAATCAAAGGCCATAATGGTTGAGGTCAAAACTGGAGGAGGATTTTAGGGAAAATATTTGCTGGAGGATTTTAGGTAAGAGGTTGAAGTTTGGCCAGTTTTGGCTTAACAGAAAGGTGGCATTTCTCCAACCCTGTAGCTAGGTTTTTTCCACGTTCAGAAATTTGATTTTGAAATAGAAACAGCCTCTGACTCCCAAAGTAGGAACCTCACAGACTTCCTTCCCAGGTTCTCACAGAAGAAGCTTAAAAAAAAAAGATGGTCAGGTGACTTGAGGGGTAGTGATTCTCACAAGTAGCTTTTATTAGTGTTTCCCTCGGTGGGAAAAAATTGCTAGTCAGACATCCTTGTCAGGCATCACCTTGATATTGCATAGTTGTAGGGTAGATCATCATCCCTGGTGGACCCTTCAGAGGTGGTATTCACGTTCTGGGACAGTGTCTGTACAGCCTATGGTACGACAGACAAATGCCAACATGATACAAGAACATTGCAACAGTGCTTTTGCAGGTCCCTTCCCAAACAAAATGGGAGAAAATCCGATACGGAGCGGGGTATCTTGATCCCACAATGTGGAGAAAACAGAAAGCAAAGGAACCATTAAAAGCTCCAGAGACAACCATCAATAGCCTTGGGGACGCAAAGAACCGGTCTGAAAAGGTACTGTGAATGTAAATAATAAGTGATATCATTCTTCTGTGACATAGCTATGAGAGATTATGTTATGATGGTAACGTCTCTGGGCACTGTGTTGTGCCTGACAGCCACAAATAAATGTGGAACATAGCATGTTATCCAAGCTGAGACAACCATGCTCAAACAGGCTCATTCACTTGGATTAGACTGTGTTTTGATGGCACCTATATGTGGACAATAGCTCTAGAAGGCATAAGAACACAATTTAAGATTTAGTTGACGTAGTTGTAAATCCATCCCCTTGAACGCTCTTGGTATCATATATGACCAAAAAGCATTCATATGCTGAAAGCAAACAATTGTCATTTCAGAACATTTTAGGGTGGTTTTGTCTTTGGTTTTTTCACTGCAATACCCATTTTGACAAAGATGCTGGTTTCAGCTGTGGTACAAGGTGTTATTAGAAGGAGTTCGAAGAGCAGGCAGGTAATTTTTCCACTGCTGGGTTTGTTTAGATGTATGTTTAGTTTGTTTGTGATAAAAAAAAGAATCTACCCCATCTTCACACGTAATACGTAGACAAAAGGGAAGATGCTGTTCATGCTCTAGAGGGCAGTCCTTCCAAAGGTAAAATTGAGGAGTTGCACGTGACTAAAATCATGCCACATGCAAAGGGCTGGTGAGCTGAATGACAAGTGTCGCTCTCGTTGTTTTATGAAGAAATGCTTTCTGTAAGACAAAGGAATAAGCTTTGCAAAGAGGATGCCTGGGAACAGCTGAGCTCAGAAGAACGCAAAGGCTACAGTTATGTTAATACTCCTTCAAAATTAAGGCAATGTCTACAGTTGAAAGGGAATCCACCACATTTTGTCCAGCTCTTCCTGGGAATATACAACAGATTAGCAATGGTAGGTGTGCTTACTTGGATAATGAAGAATTAATCTTCCTGCCTTCCTTACCGAAGGTGCTGGGAGAAATTACTTTGTGTAACACAGGACATGAGATTACAGGACCGTAGGTTATAATTTGCTAAAACCATATGGAAACTTCACATTTAGGCACACGGTTCCAGAGTAGAGGCAGAGGCCCAAGGACTGACAAGTCCCTGTGGCTGTAACCTGAAGGGCTGTGTTGGGACATGAAATGCAGCCTCACCCTGACCTCCTAGCTTCTAACATCACAGCACTCCTAGGTTGGTGAACACCAGGACTTTAAAGATGAAAATGTCTGAGACAAATTTCAGTGAGCTTATTACCGAACCACTGAAATACAGCTGTGTCAGTGTATGGCAGGAGTCTGCCTCCCCTTGTGTTTTGCATTTCTTAGAATTGGCTATCTTTTTGCATGAAGGAGGGAAAAAAATTATATTTTTGCGTTCATTTCCCGTAACTCTGATGTAATATTAGAATAACTTCTATCTCAGACCTCTTTACTCCTTTGGTCTTCAAAAATTGGTCCCCACAAGATAGTTTTTTCTTTAGGACAGATACCTTGCATATAATGACTAGCCCCTGACATACCTGGGGCATTTTTTTAGTGGTGAGATAAAATTCTGATCTGTGGATTGCAATTTCAAGAGGCCATGTTTGGCATTTTTAAGCTCCAATCCTGCACTGACTCACAGGGCCTTGAAGCAGCTCAGTGATGCAGAGCTGATCCTAAAATCATAAATCAGTTCAGCCTCAATCTGTCATAGTTTCTGCAAGTGCATCGTAATATTTTTATCCTGGTATTTGAGGAGGCTTTGCCTGTAAGTGTAAGCAGTTATTTAGGGAGAGCTTCTTAGTTCACTGTGAAGGAGGAAAGAAAATTATTATAGACTTGGCTTTTTCTTAAGAATTCTTATTGAACTGGAATATAATACACAGACTGCTGCAGAGAAAAGTTTATTTAATGTATTGCTAACAAAGCTACAATTATGGGAATAAGGTGTTTGCTGTTTTATTATTCCAATTGTGTATGAAGCCAGATAAGGACTTCTTAGAACAGCCGCAGGCTTTACAATAAACTTGTGACAACAGTGAGAAACATACCAGCCATCCCAAAGGTAATGCTGTACACCTTATGTGCTCATATACATGATGTCTCTATGGGCAATACCGAGTGTATGCATTTAAATGTAAGGTGCAATACAGAATCAGCGCCTTGATTTGGTGAGGGTTTCTTGTATGAAGAAAGAGACTACTGGTGTGAAAGAAGGAATGAATCCCTAACTAGGGTCCTGCTCTTGCAATTGAGTCAGCTTCATAGAATTTTTTGCAGCTCTAAATGCAAAATGAGGAAGAAGAAAATAAATTCAAGCCAACTTGGGCTTTTTTTTTTTCATCCTGAACTGGGAGCAGAGTTGGAAGAAGGCATCGATATCGGTAAATAAGTGTGGAAAGTGAAATACCTAACATGTCCTAGAAGAGCTTACTATTCCTGGCACAGCTGAGGTCCTGGCAACTTTGCCAAACACTTCAGGGTAGCGGCATCTTTTGATCTTCTCTAAATGTAGGATAAAACTGGAAGCTTGCAATTGTCAAAGTGCCAGAATGGTTTAGAATGCACAATTGCAAAATAACTTTGAAATCTGAATTCTTAGTCTCATCTCTCATCTTTTCTGTCAGATCTGACTGTACAACAGACTTCTAATAATGGCAAAAATTGTGCTAATGTAATCAAAGGGTCTTGTATAACGGTTGTGCAGAGGTTTGCTTTAGATGGCTCAGGGAGGGAAGGAAAAAAAAACTGGCCATCCCTGCTGATGTCCGTGGCAGCCTTGCATAAAGACCAATGAAGACTGTCAAAAAGACAGGTTCCCCAGTGTTGTAAATTGCTGTAGTTCCCTTGATTTCAAGGGAATTACTGATTTACGTCTGCTGAGGATCCGGTCTGCATGGTGATAAAGTCTGAGACGTATAATAATGGCATTGCAGATATGTGCCGGGGATATGCGAACAGAGTCTGACAACCATTAGCTGCTCTTGGGAAATGGCACTCATTTGATGTTGAAAACAATATGAAGAGGCAAGTGGGCATTACTCTGGAAGCTGATATTTTGGACACTGTCATCCAGGTACTACGGTGCTATATGTGTATTTTTGATAGGAACACTGAGTGCAACGAGGCATTAGTACAGCAGTGGATTGAGCTAATTGGCGTAGCAGGATGCCGGTGTCAGAACTGCTTGAACATTTTTCGTCTCCCCGCGGTAGAGGAATGGGAAGGTTGTGGTGTAGCACTTGTCCCTGTTGTAGGTATAGCAGGTTTCAGGTTCATTGCAGGAGGTGCTCTGCTGGGCCTGGTATATCTCACCATCCAGCTCTATTTCTACGGGATCGCATTTTTTGCAGCTGGAAGAGATGGGGAGTAGAACAAGTGTTAAGGGTTGTGGTGAAAAGATGCCCCTGGTGAAACCAAAATCCTCCTTGCTTATCTGCAGATGTAGCTAGGCGGGTACTGTGGCCTTTCTAGGTTTTACATAGGAACCCCCAGCCAGATGCTTTTAGCGTTGTCAAACTGCTATTGGCAAAACTGGCCCCTAAAAGGGAGAGTTAAACAGGCGATGTGTAATTTGCTAATATTTAAGACATTTGAGATGAACAGGGGTCAGAACGAAACATTCCCTATAAACGTGAGACCTTTTTCTGTGAATTAATCATGGAGATGACAATTTCTTGGCTTGCAACAGAATATGAGAACTAGGCTCCGTGGGGAAAACTTTCCACTGTGACGCTGCCTCACCTTCTCTACTGGCCTTCAAGCACATTTTTGAGCTGCTGTGGGCAATGCTGTAGGGGAGGTTAAGTCTTAAGAAATGAAATTAGTAAATAAAACTACTTACAGTTCAGTCATGCGGTAGACAAAAGTGGTTCTGAGTGGGGACGTGGGGTCAGAGATGTTCTCTCGAGCCTTCAGAGGGACTCTGCAAAGGAGGCAAGAAAATCGCTCTCATGAAAACTGCTTATTAAACAGGGGGCTACTCTGCTGCGAACAATTCTCAACTTTCAACTTTTATTCAGGTTATTTCCTTTCTGACCCTTTTTCATAGCAAAGCCCAGAAACTGCAGATCTTGGCCCTTCTGTGCCCTCAAAAGCAACAACCCTCCCCAAAAGGACTGCAGCAATTTCTGAAAGTGCCGCTGTCAGGTGAGCGTGCTGATAATCCTTTTTTTTTTTTAAACTCTGAGCTGGCAGATGCCTAAGAGACTTGCAGGACATAAACAGAGATGCTCAGTGTTTCTCCTGTTGTGAGCTCTACCAGAACTCCTGCAGCTCTGAGTCTGAACTTGGTCCATGTTTCCAAGACAGACACACTTCTGAAAGATTTGCGTGAATAAAGAGGACACAGTCCTACTTTTGAACTGAGATCTGCCTCATAGGATTAACCTTTTCTCATAGTTTAGGCATTACCTGGTTTTCCCAGCCTATAAAATAGGAGGCTTGCTAGCAGATCGATAAATGACTCCAGTGTCATGGGCCCAATTTGCTTTCAGATTAGATCAACTGCAGAAACGTTACACTCTACTTCCCCAGCCTATTTTGTACAGTTACTACCGGACCGCTTAAAACATGGAGGTGCTTTTTGTATCTGAAGGGACAAACACCAGACACATTCACGTAAGCTAGAAAAACACAAAGCAAAAGGGATTATTCCAGGATACCATAGAAAGCAGCCCACAGGAAAAAAAGTTCACATCATCGATGCCAGGACATGGGAAACAATGCAAAGAAAAGGGACCTCCTGTAACGCTTCGTCTCCTGTTCACCATCTCCATGTAATACTTGTCTGCCACTTACAGGATGCGTATGTTTCTCTCCAGGATTTCTTCACCGGGGTTTTCCTTGGAGGGGACGAACTTCGAGGTCACTGTTACACACTGACACTTGTTATTGACCAGCACGTACTCTTGGTCGCCAGAGTCCCATGGATAACCTGCAAGCACAGGATATGCAATCCCAGGGTCAAGAAGAAAAACCTTGAAACGTGCTCTAGCAGTGATAAGAATGCTAAAAATGCACCATTATGGCATCTCAATTGGTATAAGTCCGGGTTTCAGCAGGTACAAATGAGCCCCTTGGCAAAGATGAGTTCAGCTGTCTTCCCTGCTCAGTCTACAGTATGCTTCTGTATGTGGAGGTGATGGGACTGGGAAGGAGAAAACAACCTGTACGCTGTGTTGCTGGAGAGAGAGCAGGTCGCAGGGGTTTCTCATGAAATGGGAAGAAAGTCCCCTTGCAAGCCTCGAGCTATACCTGGCAGCAGAAGTGCTGCTTTTACCTTAACTGAGGTTACCCAATTGCTCTATCAGGCACCAGGACTAGCCTAGCAGTCCAAACCCTAGTTTGGATCTGGCTTCTAAATAAGTGTCTCTGACCTTGCCAGTGTGACAGATGTGTCAGTTTTCCTTGGCTGGTATGTTGTTCTTCAGGTCCCTGAGGGAGCAGATGCCAAAAAGCACTGCAGGACCCAGCAAGAAGGCAGCCTGATGACCTGGCAGTGAAAGGTAAGCGGCCCTTACGATGGTTGTGGTTTGCAGGGGAAACTCCAGTCCGGATTTTTCTGGTCTTCTGTTGATACTGAAGTTGAGTTTGGCACCTGAGGAGCCTACTCAAATAGAGAAGAACCAGCTTGGCTGTCTCCTGTACTTTTAGCGTGTTATTCAGTATGAAACTTGATCAAAACAGGGTAAAACATCCCATCTGTCACCCAGAGGCTTTTTGGATGTTCCTAGTGGCGTGCAATTCTTATTACTGTGCAAGTAGATGGATTTGAAATAGCTTGTTCTTTGCTAGTTGGTTTCCCCCAACCCAGAGCCTCTGGTCTCTTCACCCATAACAAGCCAGCCTTGCTTTTGTATGCACACAGAGTCATACCTTTCTTAAGTGGTTGTTTTTACATCCCTCTGTATTTCTAAATGCTGCTAAAATCAAGTTCACAGCCATCACTTTGCAGCATCACTCTTCCTACAGCACCTTCAGCCTGCTTAGAAGTACCAAAACCAGTGATTTTTGTGTGGAAGATGGGGATAGTTTATATCGGGCTCAGATGGACCTCACAGTTCTGGGGACTCGCCTGCTCTGCTTGTCCCTTGGTTTAACCATGGAGAGACAGAAGAAACAGGCTAAAAACATCTGTGTCTATCATGTCTATGGAGGATTTCGGAGTCACTTTGACTTAAAAGCTTTGGCCCCAATAGCTGGATTTCTTTGAGTTATCAAAGCATGGATCCATAAGGAAGCAGACATGTTGCATAAGCTCATGTCTGTGTGTTTTTATTTCCATGTCCAAAGCTGCTGGGTTTTGTGAACAACAGTCCTGTTCCTATAGGGTGGAAGGGATAGCGCTCAAAGCCTGTGGGAGCAATAGCGATGGTGGGATCCAGGAGCAGCACATGGACTCTGAATTGTACTGTAAGTTTTCTGATTGTTAGCTGCTATCGGCAGCAGCTTAACTGTCACCTGAAGCTGTCTGCAAGACCAAACAAGGACAGTATTGATTGGCAGGGCCCCCAAGGATCTAGTCCATACAATGTAATGAAAATAGCATCCTAGGTTTTCTACCTAAGGCTTCTTAGAGCTTCCTTCCTGCCCCTACAATATGCTGGTCTCATCTGCTTCCATTCCACTGGGTTATTCTCCGAGATCCTTACAGGCCTCGTAACTGTGAAAAAGACACAAAACCTGTGTAAAATGATGCCTCAGAGTGACCCTACAACTGACCTGCTGGTTACAAGTGCTGTTTCTGTGACAACTGGCAGCAAGAATACCTTTTGAAAAAGGTTCACTGTGGAGTTTCTCCATCAGGAAGAAAATTACTTTGCTCCCTTGCTTTGGGCAGTGGAGCAAGCCGCTACAGGCACGTAGGAGACGTTGCCCTTTCTACTGCTCTCACGGTTTTCTTTATCCCTCTACAGCATGTGCCCATTGAGCCTTTCAGAGCAAGGGCTGACTTTTAGCATGTCTCTGTATAGCGTCCAGCACAACCGGCTACCTGTACAAATGCCACCGCGAAATGTGCACAGAGAGCGTAAGTCCAGTCACGCTTCCGATCGCGGTGTGCCCCACCAAGGCAGAAATACATCATCATACCTGACACGCAGACATGGTCGTTCAAGAGTTTAATGGTGCTTGTCTCTTTACACCCCTCATTCCAATTTTTCTTGCTCTGCATGCTTCCTCTCTGCCAACTCGTCATTCAACATGAACATTTCCCTCTGAAGCAGAAGCTTACTGGAAAAGCCTCTTTAGTCTCTGCCTCTTTGAGTCTTGGCCTTTCTTTTTTCTTATAGAAAGTCTCTGGCTTCTTGTCCTTCACATAGCGCTTCCTCTGATGTCTGTCACTGTGTTCTATGTAACATATGCAATTCTTTCTAAGCCCTTAATCCAAAGCTAATATTGAAGTCAGATCCTATTGGCTTTGGGAGTTGTCCCAAAACCTTTGGGAGCGGGCTTTAATTCCTCTTATAAAATTAAATATACTCTTCTATGAATATGCAGGGGGGGGTTGACTGTACTCTAAAAAACCTTGTCCTGATATAATTCCTTGTGTAATACTCTTGGCTTCAGTAACCATAAAAGTTACAGGTACTCCATATATTTTTTTTAAAGTAAAATTACAAAGCTGCAAAAAAGATAGTTCTATCAGCAATACTTCCATGTATCGCCCAGTAAAGTCCCTTTGGGGAGAAGGTAGCTAAATACAAAATTTCCTAATGTCCTTTGAAATGTCTGCAGGTCGGATTTTCTGGTGCATGATTTACTGCAATATGGTGTTCCGTCCCTCCTCAGCACTCATGCAGAGATTATTTTGACAAAATTTCTCATCTTCCAATATTGGGTTGTCCTGTAATACTGTGAAGCCCAATGAAACCCAGCTGCAGCATAGTGAAAGAAGCAAATGCATTCCAAAAATATCTGTTCAACTCTGCTGCAGGTGCAAGTAGCTACTTCATTAAAGCAGGAAGAGCCTTGATTAGACCAAAAATACATTAATTTCAACATAAGCAGTACAAACAGCACTCCTGTAGCTGCATGTAACTCAAATTTGACTTCCCCTCTAAGCTGCTTATGCGTGTATATATGTATATATATATCAAGCCATGTGTATGAATGGGGAAAAACAGGCTGGGCTCTGTGTTGAACTGACACAGTATTTCTCAATGTTTTCTGCTTTTTCAGCTAATAGATTATACGGCTGGTCACTTTCCATAGGAAGCAGTACTTTCCAAGGACCTGCCTGGGTAGGCAATAAGATGCCCTTTCGCACAAGTTGGAGGAAATGCAGGGATGCTGTTGCCCATGCTGTTGGGATGGTTATCCTTCAGCATGGATTTAATCCTGCGGACCAGATCCACCATGTGAATGAGGATGACTTCAGACCGTCGTATAGAGATCCAGCAATAGTCAGTATCTATTACCTGTGGACCACACTGAGGAGTGTGCTGGGATGACAGCCTGATCTCAGTCTAAATCAAGTGTCTCCAAGAAATTTGGTGGAGTTACAAAGATAAACTACAGTTTAATCAGAAATAAGTTGGCCATAGCCATATGACAGGACTACCAGGAAGATTTTAGAAGCCTTTAGCAGGTAAGAGTCTTGCAAGCTTCTTAGCACTGCAGAAAAGCAAGCATGCATGTTTGCGGTTTGTTGCTTCAGAACCCCAATCAAAAATGGCTAATCAAAGTCTTAAATTTGCAGCTAGTCATCACTTTTCTTAGCCTCAAGGCAGCAATTAAAAACACGCAGCTTTGTGGTGCAGAAAGACACTGAGGTGTCCAAGCACCACTGAAGCATGACGGCTTGAGCAGGCTTTGAGGTTTGATTTTTTTGACTCTTAAAATTATTAATGGCCTATTACACAAAACCCATCACTGATATCTTAAGCGCAGTTTTCCATGCTCTTCATTTCTCACCTACCTGCCACAAGGACGAACCCCAGGGAGACGGCCAAGGCCACGCACAGCAACAGAGAGCTCTTCATCCTGCCTTCCCTTCTTTTGAAGAACACGAGTGGAGAGCCTGTGTGTGCCTATAAGGGCGTGCGCAAATGATACAGCTATTGGTTTCCTAAAATAAACAGCCCAGCCGGCAAGCACTGACTCTGTGGAAAATGTGGCTGGGGACTGAAACCAGGCATGCTTAACGCACAAAGACCTCTGGCTTTCAAAAGTGAAGGGGGGCAGGGGGTTGCACTATTACTGTGTGTTTTTATTCTGTTCACCAACAAGCAATGAAGCTGCTGGGTGCAAGGGACTGCAAAATGACCCTGGTCCTTAGGGGACATCTTACCATCAGGACCGGTGGCATTCTCCCACCTGGGGGTGACAAGTCTAAGGCAAGAAAGTGTCCAGATAGCCAAGGGGTCACAGCTCTGGCTTCTACTTTTGAGAAATCGGACTTAAAGATCACTTGACTCACATCAAAAAAACACTTCAGCCTTCAAGATCAGAATCCTCTTTGCACCAGATGCTCTGCAAACATTTATTAAGGGCTTGACCTGCCCCCAAAGGCCTTTCAGTCAAAGCAGACAAGATGAGAGAGGGGAGGGGTAAAAGAGGTGTAAAGCAACTGCAGGTCTGTGGCAAAGCTGAACTTCTCCAGCTTTGCCCACTGCACTGGCGAGTTCCTTTCCTTATGAATGGAAAAGGGACTCCACGGGATTTGTGGTATGTGAAATGCACTGAGTCAGGACCTAGGCAAACTCTCTGAGGTACTGGGTGAGCAGACTGTTCCTGAAGGAGGGGAGTACTAGAGAAGACCTGAGAGGTTTTGTTCTAGGTTTGGGATCACTTGTGTAACTCTGACTAGAGCTGTCTCTGTAGCATATGTATGTGTCTTGCACAGAAAAAGCCACTTTTTAGGGGAAGTCCAGTCTTAATAGCATTTCTTAGCAAGGGCCTCCAAACACCTACATCAGGGGACAAAAGGGGAGGCAGAGCAAAGTATGATGCTGGCAGGCCCATTCTTAGCCAGGGTTTATTGCATTAGTGTAATATGAATTTCTACTACCTGCAATGCATGTTTCTCTCAATTAACATTAGCAGCACATGGTAAATCTCCCTGTGTTCTCCAGCTTTTCCTTATGCAGCAGAGCAGCAGCACTGTGACCAGATACAGGCTTTCACGCAGCCCGTGCCTCCCTTGGCTCCCTGGGGTTGGTTGTTCTTGCCAGGCTCTCAAGAGGCTAAAGCCATTAGGCAACGCTGCCAGGCATCCCAGGTCCTGAAAGGGCAGCCTGTCACCTTACAGGCTGTCTTCCCTTTCTTCAGACCTAAGAAGACAGACCTAGGTCCCTAACCCTAGAGCTGTTTGAAGACCCCGGAATCTGTGTCCTGAGCTTTTTCTCCTAGTGCAAACATCTCATGCAGCAGTTGCATGATGCAATGAGCTTTTGTGTTGCATCAGCAGTGCTGAGACGCAAGGTTTCTCCTGGGGGAGGTGGCAGGGGATGATGGGTGCGAGCCCAGCTCCTAGTAGGGCATCAGGTTATGCCATAATTCTTCTTTACAAACCTTGTTTTCTCACTAGGGCTCCATCTTTAGGAGAGCAAAATTTGTTCTTGTTTCCTTTCCCTCTCCCCAGAAAGTACTGCCAAAGGAGTTTTATGTGGAGCTCTCTTCTGAAGCAGCAGCAGCAAGGTGTTCCCTATGCCCCATCTTTTGCAGAAGGTTACAAATAAACCTGGCTAACCATGGGGTGGTAGGGGTGTCTATCTAAAGCACTATGTGTTTCAGTCACCTTTTTTGTAATAAGGTAAGAGATTTGTTAGAAATATACAAGAATGGGGGATGCAGGCAGCAGAATAAAGCACATGCAAAAGAGGCTGGTTCTGGTCTGTTCTGCCAAACTGCACTGATAAAAATACGGCACTGGTAAAATCCAAGCAGAGGCTTTCATGAGTATTTTCAAACCCGAAGGGAGAGACGGAGCAGAATTATATTCTGAGTGATTCTGTTGATTTCGGTGGTTTTCCTTGACTGCCGGTGCTCAGCATATCTGAATTTCAGTTGCTAAATCTACATGTCTGCATACGGCCCCTTTGGTCTGTATGTGATGGCATGAGAGCTATTTTTAGTCCCATTCAGACACCTGTACGTCTCTGAGAATTTCCATCTAGATTGCAAGCCCTTTAGAGGAAGATTTGTTTTATGGACTGTTAGTTTTATGGACTATCCCCTTTTTACTGTGTGACATGTTGAATTATCAGAAAATTATCTGGGGAAGCAGGCATTAAAGAACTGTGGCAGTCTGGCAAGGGGCTGGGAAACCGTCACCCCAGGCTTAAATTCTGGGCTGAGTGGGGAGCTAGACTCCCAACCTCACTGCAAGGCAGAGGCTAGCAGAGGCTAGCAGAGGAACAACTGAGAATTCAAAAAGAAATGGGAACCAGGCTTGTAGTCTCAGTCCCCTTGCACTTGTCCTGTGCCTCCAGTTGGCCCTGGACGTGCTGAACTAGGATTTTGCAGGTAAGAAGCTGGGCAGGTGCCTGGATGAAGTGAGGCAAAATAGTTGTGTCTTGGTGCGTCCTTGCTATGCTGGGTGAGGAGTGGAGAGGAGGACAGCCATACCAGGGCACGGGCTATCTCCAGATAACACACCATCCACTAGCAGTCTGCCCTATGCCTTTCTTTTCTTCTTATTTCTTACTCAGAAGCAGAGAAACAGGTGGATTAAAACAGACCTGCAGCTGGCCCTGCTTATTGTATTGGTAGCGGTGATGCCACTGATGCTTACAGTAGAGCAGTGCAGTTTGGCTTGAGCAGTTCCTGATAACTGGATGAACTAGCTCACATCAGAGCTCATCTCCACCTTCACCAGAAGCGGATGACATTTTCAGCAAGTCCTGACGGAGGTTCAAATGTCTGTAGATGCTATTTCTTTTCTGGTCTTAGAAATTAACCTTGGATTGAGAGATAACACGCCCATTACATTTAAATCACTGAGAGTCCAAGTGGAAGTTGGTCTGTTTTTAAGGCTCTGAATTTTGAAAGGGCAGACTTTAAAAAAAATGAGAGCGCTACGTTGTGAGGGCAGTTGGATGGAAACCTTCAGGGTCAGGGGAACGTTGAAAGCCCGGGCTTCTGTAAGTCGCGCTAGCAAAAGCTATCTGGAATTTTAACCATGCAGAAATTGACTGCAGACTTCTCAGGGTGGACTTCACACCAAAAACGATAGGATTAAGCAGAAAGATTGCAAATCCTGATTGGCAGAGATAGCTGTATCTTAGTGGCCAAGTAGTATAAAGTGAGAATTTCCACTGAGGTGTGGCTAACAAATTAAATGAATGCTATGTCTCACTTACCAAAACCTAGTTACTCTTCTTGCTCTCTCATACAGGCCTGTATCCGGGGGAGGTGATATCTCAAAATTGGCACTGACAGATTTGGGAAAAGTGTCTTAGTCGGAAGCAAACCAAACCTTTGGTACAAGAGCAAATATGGAAAATTTTGACCCAGAGGTGACAATGCGGAGAAGCTGAGCGTGTCAGAAAGAAGGCTCATAAGTGAGATTGGTCTGCCATCAGATCTACCAGAATCCAAACGAATCGCCAAAAAGTGAGTAAAGTTGTGCACCCCCCCTCTGTTTCAGTTAACTTTAATATTTGCTTGACATGTCTTTTTCCACAAGAAGGTGGACAGGAGTATTTATAAATAAAACTGCACCTGTCCTGCGGTGAGAAAAAAAACACATGTACTTGTTCTATGCAGAACTCCTCTTGCTGGGACGTGTGGCTGCTTAATTTATGAGGCTCTGGGTTTCTGAGCTCGGACTAAACTGGGATCCAAGGAGCACATAGGACGGGGACCCGCCAGCAGCCCAGCTTTGCAGCCTGCCTTCGCCTTACAGCCTGAAGGCTGATCCGCAGCCTCTAGGAACGGGCCTGGTTCCTGCCGGGAGACGCCTGTATCCCTGCAAACACGCAATCTGGTGAAGGGCAGGACTCTGGAAAGTTAACATATGGACCTCAGGTGTGTCCAGGGAGGTTTTCAAATACTTCTTTTCCTCTCTGAAACTTTGGTCTGGCTGTAGGGAACTGAGTAATGAGAAGTTTCGGTTAACAAGGGGACAGATGTCAGGTGTGCTTTCTATCTTGCCTTTTTTTTTTCCTCGTTTTAAGATGATTATACAGGCATTTGTATGTGTCTGTGCTTTTAGGTGAAGATAGATCCCTAAAGGAGGAAAAAAGGCACTCTTTTCTTTCTACGCGGCATTATTCGTTGCCGATACCTGCCACGATCAAGAAAAATCCTTGCTTTGCGGCTGTCCATGTCACGCAGCTCCTTACGGGTATTACTCTACTAGAAATCTAACAGTAGAAGTAAACCCGTTTACACTCCAGACCCGGAGCGATTTCATGTATAAATTAGATGCTTAACCGAAAGGGCTCAAATCTGAACTCGCGGCTGCATCCAGAGGGTATCGTTGTGGGCTATTTCCGACGCATACAAACCTCCGCCGGGAGCTAGAGAGGAGGAGGAGGAGGAGGAGGAGGAGGAGGAGGAGGAGGAGGAG